TTCTGTTCATTTATAGCTTATGTATTTCTCCAGATGATTGCATAATCTCTACTATAACTTATTCAAGTATGAGCTTTTAGCTCATCTTTTGAACTATGATCTCATTATTTCTCCCCAACAGGTAGCTCAAACTGAATTGACTACCTTATTTCCAAATTGGTTTCTTTTTCTGTATTTCCTCTTTTGTGTCCTCACTCATTTCTCTCTTTAAAAAAAAATTTATTGATTTCAGAGAGAAAGAGAAAGAAACATTGATTTTTTGTTCTACTTATTTATACATTTATTGGTTGATTCTTATATGTGCTCTGACCAGGGATCAAATATGTAACCTTGGTGTATTGGGTTGATGCTCTAACTAACTGAGCTATCCAGCCAGAGCCTTACTCATTTTTATTGTTGTTTATGTTTGAAACTTTAAGTTTTTTAAAAATTGATTTTGGAGAGAGGAAATGGGAAGAGAGAGATAGAGAGAGAGGGAGGGATGGAGGGAGAGAGAGAAACATTGATTGGACATTTGATCAAATTATTAATCTAGGATTGAACTTCCCCTGTTGATTTGAGTTGTTTCAAGTGGTAGATTAGGCCCTTGCCAGGTTGCTCAGTTGGTTGGAGCATCCTCCCTTACAACAAAAGGTTGCGGTTCCGTACCAGCTCCAGCACATACTTAGGTTTTGGGGTTTCACCCCTGGTCAGGGTGCCTGCCAGAGCAGCTGATTGATGTTTCTCTCTAAAAGGATCAACAAAAACATATCCTTCTTTAAGGATTAAAAGGGGGGAAAAAGTAGATTGGTTTAGGACAGTGATGGCGAACCTTTTGAGCTTGGCGTGTCAGCATTTTGAAAAACCCTAACTTAACTCTGGTGCTGTGTCACATATAGAAATTTTTTGATATTTGCAACCATAGTAAAACAAAGATCTATATTTTTGATATTTATTTTATATATTTAAATGCCATTTAACAAAGAAAAATCAACCAAAAAAATGAGCTCGCGTGTCACCTCTGACATGCGTGTCATAGGTTCGCCATCACTGGTTTCGGAGGTGGTCTGGTAAGGATTATTTGACCTTTGCTTTCTTCGTCTTTAATATTTCATACGTATCTTTACATGGATTTTTAAAGTAAATAAAAATTTCGTGGTGTGTTTTGAGAGAGTGGAAGGGGGGGAGGGAAGGGGGAGAGAGAGAAACATCCACCTGAGAGAGACACATGGATTGATTGGTTGCCTTGGACCCACCTCCGCCTGCATGGGGCCAGGAATCAAACCCACAACCCAGGTATGTGCCCTTGACCCTTTGGTCTGCAGGCCCACGCTCTAATCAATGAGGCAAACGGACCAAGGCTCGTGGTGGTTTTGGGGACATATTTCCTATAAAGTAGAAAGGAAATCGTTTGGCTTTCTGTTAAGGGAGTTGTCATAACCCAAAGTTATAAAACTTATTTTTTCTGGCTTTATCATAGCATCCTATTTTATTTGAAATATCTGCAAAGCAGTCATTCCCCACCCCTACTGGTAGACATTGGTATTGTGTTGAATTGAAATAAAATGTTCTTTTGTACTTAAGTTTTATAAACTAGATTTGAATTGTTAAGCTTAAAGTTTATTTCAAGGAAGAGAGTGCTTTGAGTGAACTTTTTAGTCAGCTTTTCAGTCAGTATTTCCATTTCTGAGTTTTGATATTATATGGTGTGGAAAATTCTAGGGAATTATATGCTGTAGTAAGAATAGTCCTTGAATATTGTTTTTAATTAATTCCTTCTAGCCTTTCTTAAATAAAGATTTATATTGGCAGGGTAATTTCTAGCAGCTTTGAAATACCCAACAGGTCATTTTCTGTTCCAAAAGCTAGAATTTTTTGCTAAGTCAGATGAAGCTTGTTATTTAACATGCTGATTTTGTGTTATAGTCGACACATTCCTGAGATGCTTTGTTCACAATGCTGATGGAAAATACCCAAGACTTTAGTGTTTTCAAATAAATGTTTTGTGGGCATCTCAGACAGCAGGTTTATTTTATGAAGTTTTACAGCATGTGGTGGTTGATTTATGTGAAAATATTTCTTATGTGAAATGTGTTAGTGTAACTAATTTCCTGGATAGAATACTGGTAAAACAACCTGTTAATGATACAGGTATTTAAAATACTGAGATTTAAATGGCCAGTGAAGAGTTAAACTCATTTACTATTCACAGTAAAATCTTATTTTATTATATATCCCATCTTTTATTCTAACAAGACATGTTACTTTGTCTTTTGTAAATATGCTCTCAAATTACAAAGAAATTTAGAAATAAAATAGTGTGACTAGAAACTACTTTTTATTATCTGAATATTGCTAGTTATGTAGTTCCATTTTCTAAGTCCTATTGTAGAGCCCTGTATAGACTATACTGGGGTTTTCTATCCTTTCAAGAATGAAAAGGCCTTTTTATTATCAAATTTATTGGATCACATAGTGAAATTCTAATTTTAGTCTCTATTGATGAGAAAATTACATAATAATCAAAAGTTCCAAAAGCTACTGTGAATTTAAGTAATACTTTTAAATGAAAAGATTTTCTTTTACAGCTTATGAATACTTTTTTATTAATGACGGCAGAAGATGGATCCCAGGGACTCATTGTATGCCTGATCATTCTAGATTTTAGGTGATTTGGGCTTGCCTAACATATTCAGCAGTTCATCTCCAAGTGTATAACCCTCGAAGAGCAGCCTTGTGCAAAAAAAACATTGTTTTATGCCTGTCACTCATATTCTTTTTGTTTATCACTTGACAAAAAGCTCAGACCTACAGAAAAGTTAAAATATAGTACAAAGGATTCTTATATATCTTTAACCTAAGTTCTTTAAACATTAACATTTTACCCCATTCGCATTTACCTTTTCTCTTTACATTGTATTCCCCCCCCCTGAACTTTTTGAGAGTAAGTTACAGACATGATATCCTTTTACCCAATTTTTCCCTACAAGTTTTTATGTCTCCTTAGTTTTGTTGTAATCTGTAAAGTGTTTCAGTTTTTGTGTTGTTTTCCTGACATTGACATTTTGACTAACGCTACGTGTTTTTTAAGAATGGCCCTCAATTTGGATTTGTTTGTCTTCTTGTGCTTAGAAATATCACAGTGAAGTGTATTGCTGCTAGCTCATCATATCAGGAGGCACATGATGTTAACATTGATCATTTGGTAAAGGTGGCATCTGTTGGTTTCTTCTTTTTGATTAATACCTATCTTGTGGGGGTGTATTTTGAAGCTGTGTAAATGTCAAGAACTCTGAAGGGTCTTGCAAGATAACAAATTAGCCATGGATGCTGGCAGCAGATAGGCGATAAAGGACTTTCTTACTCATAGTAATAGCAATGTAGTCAGTATGTCAGTATTTGCCTTGTCCCCCAACTCACTTCCCACTGGGTGATGTGAACAGGACCAGGTGACCCCTGCACAAAAGGAGTCACGTTGTAGGAGAGGAACCCAGGTTTAGGAAACTTGAATTTTATATAAGGGGCAAGTAAGCCTGCCTGACATTTGCCCAAGAGAGTCATTATCTTTATCTTACTGGACATTAGACAGCCTGCCCTTTGCTCAGGAGGAAAACACTATTTCTACTTCCAAGGCTGTTCAGTATATGAACATCTTTCAGAAGTGACTCCAGAACAAAGGCAGTCAGTGTCTCTACTTGCAAGACATGAGAGACTCACATTGAATTGTCTCCCAAAAAACTGTTATTCAAACTTTCACCCACCAGTTTTTGCATCCATTGGTAATTCTTGCTTGACTCAGTTATGATTGTTGCCAAATGGTAAATTTTTAATTCTATCATTCCTTTACATTTATAATTTCCTTTTTTTTTTTCTGACTTATTCCCCAGATACCTCACTTTTGCCCTGTGAGATAACTTCCCAAGTAAACTCCCTGAGGTCTTTCTTTAAGATTCTACATTTAAGGGAACTCAGGCTAAGTCACAAGGCACCTCAAACTCAGCATCTAAAATTGAGTTCAATTTTTCCTCTAAATTCTCCTTCTGCTTTTAAAAAAAAATTTTTGTATTATTTAGTGATCATTTTTTTAAAGCCAGAAACATGGTTGTGTCAGTTCCTTCCTTTCTTACTCCTCACCAAGTTCTGTGGTTCTTCCTTCTGTCTACCTGTTGGTAATCAGTACTTTGGACTTCACCCCCTTAGTGTATGCCTTTGCTCAGGCTCTGATCAGCTCTTATCTGGACTATTACTATAATCTTCCCACGGTTCCATTATTACTCCTTTCTCGTTGATCCTTCACAGCTTTGCCTGAGTAATCCTTTAAAAATACAAATATGATTCTGTTTTTTAATTTGACTGTGGCTAAGCCTGGAAGACAAGGTTCTTTTACGATGTCTTTTTAAAGTTGTCTTTCTTCTCAAGGACCATCTTTTTCTCTAGCTCCCTCTCCACTGGCAAGTTACGTTTTTGTGTGGAGATTGACAAACTTTCTTTCAGGGCTAGTTGGCAGATATTTTAGGCTTTGCAAGCCACATGTGGTCTCTGTTGCATACTTAAAAAAAAAACACCCTTTAAAAATGTAAAAACCATTCTTAGCTTGTGGGTCATACAAAAATAGTCTGGGTCCGATTTGGCCAACCATAAATTGTGGGTACTGTTCTAGCCAGTATGTCATGTTTTTCATTAGTCTCTGTCCTTACATGTGCTGTTGGTTTGTACTGCGAGAAATATCCTCTCCTACATAGCAGACTTTTTCCCACCACCTTCCAAATTTAACTTTTAGGTTAACTTTTTACTGAACCCTTTTTGTGCTCCTTTAGGGCACATGTTAATCATCCCCTTTTCTTTGCTACCTGCATCCTTATGTTATTGCCCTCAGTGTTGTTATATATGTACATATCGTTGCCTCTTGCTGGGAGCTCATTGATGAAAAAAAATGTTTATTTAGTTGGGGGGGAGGGCGGGAGAGAGCAGGCTAGAAGGGGTCAATGGGGGAAAAGAGCAGACATCTGTAATACTTTCAACAATAAATATTTTTTTAAAAATGTTTATTGCTAAATTCTTCCTGTTCCTAAATGTCTTTACTTGATTTGAATTAAAAAAAATTGAAAATTGAAATATAAATGGAATGAAATAGAGTATGGCTAATTGAATATGCTAATAAAATATCTAAAATGGTTGGTTATATATTTTTTGAAACTAAAAAGATACAATTAAAGAGGTTCCGTTATTTGATAGATCCCTCCTCCCCCCCTTCATTTAAAAATAATGGTAAGTGGCTTTTCTCTCTTGAGTCTGCTGATGCTGCCTCACTATCGCTGCTCTCGTCAGCCTCTGCCTGCTCTCTCCTTGAGACTAGCATCATGCCTTCAATGAAGTTGCAGCCTTCTGATGGAGAGAAATTTGAAGGTGATGTTGAAATTGCCAAACAATCTGTGACTATCAAGACCATGTTAGAAGAGTTGGGAATGCGTGATGAAGGTGATGATGACCTAGTTCCTCTACCAAATGTTAATGCAAATATTAAAAAAGGTCATTCAGTGGTGCACCCACCACAAAGATGACCCTTCTCCTCCTGAGGATGATGAGAACAAAAAAAAGCGAACAGATGATATCCCTGTTTGGGACCACGAATTCCTCAAAGTTGACCAAGGAACACTTGTTGAACTTACTCTGGCTACAAACTATTTAGACATCAAAGGTTTGCTTGATGTTACATGCAAAACTGTTGCCAATATGCTCAAGGGGAAAACTCCTGAAGAGATTTACAAGACCTTGCATATCAAAAGGGACTTTACTGAAGAAGAGGAAGCCCAGGTACAGCAAAGAGAACCAGTGGTGTGAAGAGAAGGAGAAGTTGTGCCTGGCACTGGAACACTGTAAGGATTGTTCCAAATACTAGTGCAGTGCTCTGTTTCAATTGTTAATATAAGACAAACAGTAGACAAGTGCAAATCAATTGTATTAGCAGAATATTGTCCTCATTGCATGTGTAGTTTGGGTTTAGATTCCAAACATATGGCTTAGTTTCTTCCAATATGATCGAAAGTCTCTTTTTTCGTTGCTCTGGATAAAACTGAATTGTGGGTTCTCTATAAACAGTGGCATTTTGGGCTTTCCCTCTTTTTGCAAAGCGATTTCTGCCTAGTTTATTGTCCAGTTAAAAGGTCTAGTGACCTTTTAAAAGTTGGCATTGTAAATAAAACAACTTGCAAAAGTTTTCTGAAATAGAAAAAATAAAAAAAAATAATGTAAATTTTGGCTATGAAAGTATAGAGTAATAGAATTAATTTTCATGCAACTGCCATCCTGGGTGCAAAATAACAGTACATATAATTGAAGTCTTTTTCCTTTCTTTCTGGCATTTTTATCATTTCCACACATGTTTTTATACCTTACCACATACTTACTATATCTAAAAGCACAACATAGATTTGTCGCTGTTAATTTTATAATAAATGGTACATGCTCTTCTGCAACTTGTTTTCCCCCCTACATAGTTGTTTTGAGATTTATCTATGTTGATATGTGTAACTTCAGCTAATTCATTTTGCTGCACATGATTAATTCTAACATGCATAGCTTTTCCTACATTTTAACTGCTTTGAAATTGTGATACATTTTAAAATAAATGTTTTGCCCTTACAATTGGTATTTTTTCTTTTTTGTGGTATATAAATCCTATATAATAAAAGGCTAATATGCAAATTGACCAAATGGTGGAACAACCAGTCACTATGACACACACTGACCACCAAGGGGCAGATGCTCAACACAGGAGCTGCCTCCTGGTGGTCAGTGTGCGCCACAGTGGCGGGAGAGGGTCTAAGTTGTCAGTCAGACATCCCCCAAGGGCACCTGGACTGTGAGAGGGCGCAGTCCAGGCTGAGGAACCCCCTGAGTGCACGAATTTCGTGCACCAGGCCCCTAGTAAATATATGATGTTTGTGGTATAAAACACACTTGTATTGTATGTGTTGTATGAAAAAACTGCACCTTGACAATTCCTTTTGTGATAATTAGGTTATTTCAAAATTTTGTAATTATATACAGTGTAACAGTGAACATTATTTTGCCTGTTTTGTTGTACTTATTATGAGACTGTCTGTAGGCAGGATATATACCTGGGAGAAGAATTACTAGATTATGACCATTTCCAGTTTTGCTCTCTAAAGTGTTTGTACGTCTTACCCTAGTATATAAGTCTCTATGCCTCACTCTCCAACATTGGGTATTATCTTATTTTTTGTCATTCCGATGTGTATGAAATGGAATCCTACCATAGTTTTAATTACTATTTTCCTTATTACTAGTTGAGGTTGAGAATTTTCTTTTAAGAAGTCTTTTGGCCTTTATTTCCCTTTTTTGTAAATTGCTTGTTGATATCTTTTACCTATTTTCTTACTGAGTTTTGCCAAGCAGTGTGATTTCTTTAGATCTTTTGTCAGTTATATGTGTTGCCAATATCTTCACTATATCTGTGGCTTATCTTTATTTCTGGTATCATTTGATAACTAAACAAAAGTTCAAATTTTAATAAAGTCAAATTTTTCAATCTTTTGTTCTTAGTTTGTGCTATTTGTATCTTGTTAAAAGAAAAGCTTTCTTGTGGAATTTTTTGCTCGGAAGCCTGTGCTATGGGAGATCCATTCCCCACAAAGCAAAATAGATTGTGCTGGTGGGCTGAAGCTGACAGTGCTGGGAACTCCAGGGGGGCCTGAGGGAGAGTTTTCTAATTAGCGAGGACAAATTGAAAGCAAAAGCAGTAGCTTACCAACTCTACTTTATAAATATATTTTTTAAAATATGTTTTGATTTTTTTACAGAGAGGAAGGGAGAGGGACAGAAAGAAACATCGATGAGAGAGAAACATCCATCAGCTGCCTCCTGCACACTCCCTACTGGGGATGTGTCCACAACCAAAGTACATGCCCTTGACTGGAATCGAACCTGGGACCCTTGAGTCCGCAGGCCGACGCTCTATCCACTGAGCCAAACCGGTTAGGGCTATAAATATTTTTTTTGTAATAAAGAAAACGAGATTCCTCAAGTTAGCAGGCATCTTTTTTAAAAGAAAATATATTTTTTTATTGGTTTCAGAGAGGAAGGGAGAGGGAGAGAGAGAGAGAGAGAGAGACAATGATGAGAGAGAATCATTGATAGGCTGCCTCCTGCACGCTCCACACTGGGGATTGAGCCTGCAACCCAGGCATGTGCCCTTGGCCGGAATTAAACCTGGGACCCTTCCGACCTCAGGCCGACATTCTACCACTGAGCCAAACTGGTTAGGGCGGCCCTGTTATTTTCAAAAAGGTATTCTGCAGGGTTGAAAGTCATTGCAGTGATGTGTAAAAGTCCTTTCTTGGAATGATCAAATTAATTATTCATTTGCTGTGTACATAAAAATACTTTGGTGAAAATCACCTTCCCTAACATGGGTTACTTCTCTAACAAAAGTGTAGTACTTGATTACTACCTCCCCCCAAAAAGTACTTCACTTCTTCAAAGCTCATCATACCTGAGATGAGTCAGGAAAAAGATTTGAGAGCCACTGTAATTAGATTAAGAATTTTGGATTCTTTTGCTGCTAAGCATCTTTTGTGTTACATAAGTGAAGTGTTAATTTGGAATCTATTTTACTAGAAGGACAAGAACTAGAATTTATCAAAGAATATTGGGCATTTGTGTGGTAGGAGGTAATCAAAAGAAGAGGTTAATAATATTCTTAGGACAGAGTGTAAAATTCTTTGTTGATATGGGCAGGTCAGGTTTTGGGGGTTTGATTTAGATGAGGAAGCTAACGAGAGGGCTCTGAGTGATGGCTGGATCCAGGTAAAGACAGAATAGGATGGGGATCTGGTAATAGATCAAGAAGCATGTATGTGTGCATGCTCATGCGCAGTGGTGTTTTCTGTTTTTTAGCATGCTCACTTCTTTTTTCCAGTATTTTTCAATCTTTTTGTCTCTGGTGCTGATCATAACATGCTGAGGTCACTTGTAGTCTATGATTTATAATTGTGTAATTTGACTAAAAATGCATCCTCCCATTAGTGAACTTAGTACCACCCTAACTGTGGAGAACGTTACTGTTTTTACATAGTGTGACCCTCTAGCTCTGTTAGCTTTGAAGCTATCAGATTAGAGAAGCATTGGTACATTGTACCTGATACAGCAATCTTATCTGTATTTTTCATTTCCTGTTCCATTCTGTCTCCCTTTAAAGAGTGGTAATAAGTTCACTTTTGAAAGTGAACTGCACCTGTGTCTACTTGTTTTTAATATATCCTGGAAGCATAGTTGATAGATGTGTACAGAAAAGAAATCTGAATGGAAGGTTTTTATATAAACAGAATCTCAAAGGTTTACTTTGATATAATGTAGCTATTTGCTTATTTCCAATTGAGTGAAAATATTCCCTAAAATAACTTTCACCAAGGAGACTTTTTTTGTTGGTTGTATTGCTAGTTTTTGTTGTGGTTTTGTTTTTGTGAAGTGTTGGCTACAAATTTAATGCTTTGGTCTTTTGTCCCTGTTTATTATGAGGTAACATTTTTGAGATTTTCTTTAGGCAAAAAATATGTTTTTCTGTCTTTAAAGGCTTTTGCTTTTTTGTTGTTATTTTCACTTACTACTTCTTGTAGGTCTTTATAAATCTTCAGTACTGATCACATTTTCATACGTGTGTCTTTAAACAATGTCTTTTAGTTGATTTTAAAAAAATATGTTTTTATTGATTTGAGAGAGAGAGAGGAAAGGGGAAGGTGAGAAAAACGTTGATGTGAGAGAGAGAGACATCAATTGGCTGCCTCCTGCTGGGGATGGAGCCTGCAACTTGGCATGTGCCCTGACTGGGAATTGAACCCATAACCTTTTGGTATATGAGATGATGCTCTTAAAGCCACCCTGGCCAGGGCTTAGAAATTCCTATCTGTGAGTTTCATCATCTGTGCTTCTGAATCTATTTTTATAGGTGCAGGTACAGGAATGACTTATGCAACATTCAAAGTAGCTGAAGCATTAACTAAAGTAGAGGTATTGAAATGCTTATCATCTGCCGGAAGCCGGTCCATCCTTGCTGTTTGACACAGTCGCTGCAGGGAAGAAACATCTGCACAGCATATGTTTCAAGGGACCTGGCGTATATGGCATACTGTTCTTAATATGTTTGCTCCCTTTCTTGGCGCTATGTGTTTTAACCAAGGTCACCTCTCCGAGAAAGGTTGTTTCCCCAGGTAGGGATTTTTCCCTGAAGTTAGGGAGGGAATAAAACCCCTTAACTAAGTGCCAGGCGGGTAGTTAATCACTTTAACTACGAACAATCACGCTTAAGCTACATAATCTTTACTCCCTGGAATGGAGATAAGAAACGCCCAACCTTTGGAATAGAAATTGATAGGATTAAAATCAACTGGTATAAATACAGATGTAATAAGACAATAAAACACAGAACTTGGCTGGAGATCCTGGCTAGAGATCCTGGCTAGGCTGCTGATCAACTGAATGCTGTCTCCGTGTCATTCCTTCTTCGCCGACTCCGTCCACACCTTTGGGGACCCCTGGACCTGCTGGGGTTGGACCCCAACAGTCATCTTCAAGAGAAAAAAATCTTGATGGAATTTAATTATTTTTATAAATTATGGATTTGACCCTTAAAAGTTTTCTTTATGAGGGTTAAAATTAAACTTTCTGTAATTAATAAGTCCTTTTTCTCTTTCTTTTGCAGGTATGGCCTCACAAGTCTTGGTCTACCCACCATATGTTTATCAAACTCAGTCAAGTGCCTTTTGTAGTGTGAAGAAACTCAAAGTAGAGCCAAGCAGTTGTGTATTCCAGGAAAGAAACTACCCACGGACCTACGTGAATGGTAGAAACATTGGAAATTCTCATCCTCTCACAAAGGGTAGTGCTTTTCAGACAAAGATAGCATTTAACAGACCTCGAGGACACAACTTTTCATTGCAGACAAGTGCTGTGGTTTTAAAAAACACTGCGGGTGCTACAAAGGTAATAGCAGCTCAGGCGCAGCAAGCTCAAGTGGAGGCACCTCCGATTGGGGCGTGGAGACCTAGGTTACATTTCCTAGGAGGCCCTCAGCGATGTGGATTGAAGCGCAAGAGTGAGGAGTTGGATAATCACAGCGCAATGCAGATTGTCGATGAATTGTCCATACTTCCTGCAATGTTGCAAACGAACATGGGAAATCCAGTGACAGTTGTGACAACTACCACAGGAACAAAACAGAATTGCACCACTGGAGAAGGTGACTATCAGTTAGTACAGCATGAAGTCTTATGCTCCATGAAAAACACGTATGAAGTCCTTGATTTTCTTGGTCGAGGCACTTTTGGCCAGGTCGTCAAATGCTGGAAAAGAGGGACAAATGAAATCGTAGCAATCAAGATTTTGAAGAATCATCCTTCTTATGCACGTCAAGGGCAGATAGAAGTGAGCATATTAGCAAGACTCAGTACTGAAAATGCCGATGAGTATAACTTTGTACGAGCTTATGAATGTTTTCAGCACCGTAACCATACTTGTTTAGTCTTTGAGATGCTGGAACAAAACTTGTATGACTTTCTGAAACAAAATAAATTCAGTCCCCTGCCACTAAAAGTAATTCGACCCATTCTTCAACAAGTGGCCACTGCACTGAAAAAATTGAAAAGTCTTGGTTTAATTCATGCTGATCTCAAACCAGAGAATATTATGTTGGTGGATCCTGTTCGGCAGCCTTACAGGGTTAAAGTAATAGACTTTGGGTCAGCCAGTCACGTGTCGAAGACTGTTTGTTCAACATACCTACAATCTCGGTACTACAGGTAAGTGACAATTACTCTTTGGTTCTTAAATAAATGTTGAAGTTACGCTAAATGAAATAATTTTGTGTGTATATGTGATGAAAAAAGACTGCTTCGGATAAATAAAGCAGCATAAGATCAGTTTAGGTTTGAGTGTCCATCGGTAGATGAATGGGTAAAGAAGATGTCTCACACACACACACACACACACAAGTGTGCACACAGTGGAATATTACGCAGCATAAAAAATGAAATCTTGCCATTTTCAATTTAATGAAATATAAGATGAGCTTTTAGTTAATTTTTTTCTGGACATGTTATTTTAAAATCTTATTTACCGGCATGAGAATAATAATGGTGTTTCCCCTTGCTCCCCTTTATACTCCATAGATTTTGTCTTCAGAGCTTTCAGTAGTCAGCATCTATAATAATAAAAGTATAATATGCTAATTATACTGGACAGCTGAATGGCCTTCCGGACATCCTTCCGGACAAAGCCGTGGCTGCGAGGGACGAGGCAACCGCCATGGCTGTGAGGGCCAAGCCCAGCCGTGGGCAAACTACGGTCCGCGGGCCGGATCCGGCCCGTTTGAAATGAATAAAACTAAAAAAAAAAAAAAGACCGTACCCTTTTATGTAATGATGTTTACTTTGAATTTATATTAGTTCACACAAACACTCCATCCATGCTTTTGTTCCGGCCCTCCGGTCCAGTTTAAGAACCCATTGTGGCCCTCGAGTCAAAAAGTTTGCCCACCCCTGGCCAAGCCCCTTGGATGAATTTCGTGCATTGGGCCTCTAGTATTATATAAAACCCCAGGCTCCATCTGCTTGGGCTCTATATTTAGTTCGTTTGTTAGTGAATGACTTCATTTTCTTTAAGTCCTGCATTATTCTGCATATCAGATTTAGTCCATGTGAAACATAGATTCCTTTTCTTTATTTGAAATCTTTTGGATCAGAGTAGGAAAAAAAAAGCTTTATTTAATTTTTATACTTGACATTATCTTTTTATAAAATGTTTCAAGAGAGTAAAGGAAATCCTTTACAAAGCAATCTAAAATGCTATATATCTTATGATACTTGTTTCTGCTAGCATTAGGTCTTTGCACAAATGTTAGGCTCTGTTGGCAATGAAAAAAAAAAGCTATGAATAATTGCTAAGTATAATTAGTAGTTTCTAATTTGTTTATATATATTTTTTCAAGTAAATAATTTACCTGAATTTCGGAAGCTATACAATTGCGATGCTAACTTATTGATTCTGTGTTTAGAGTTAGAAAAAAGTGAAGTTTTTATTTGTAATAAACAAAAACTAGTGCTAGCATTTTGTTTGATGTTTCCTGATGTTGATTGATTAAAAACAATGGGAAAAAAACACACAAAAAGTTTGAAATGGGCTTTCTGTCAATTGAATACAAGAATTTGAAGAGTTAGTAAACATTAAGGTAGATTGGTGAAAATGTAGTATAGCCCTTAGATACTATTTTAATATGTAGTATAATTTTGCATGAAAAGCACATAACTATTATTTTTTAAATATTTTTTGTAGTTTATATTTGAAAACATTGCCAAATCTGGCTTAATTTATGAGTGAGGTTATTTATAAATCTGGTTTGGCAATAAATGGAAGTGTCTTATTCTTGATTTTTTTTTTTTTTTACTCTTTGTTAAAAATACATTGTATTTGAAAAATGAAAGGAGGAAGTGGAAACTTACCAAATTAAATATTTTTTGAGCTAATCACAGTAGGAACACATATACCCCAGGTTCCAAGGTAAATTATTTGTGTTTAAACACAGGTTCATGTGTTCTTTTATTTCTTTGAACTGTGCAACACAGAAATGTAGTAGGGATATCTTAAAATAGACAGGGGACAGTGGCCAGAAATTGTTGACTACTATAGATGGTGAGGCTGTCTAGCTCTTGTGGTGATAGAAGCCAGAAGTACATGCTAAGGGCATTGATTTGCTCAAGGTCAGCATGTTCTAAATTCAGCTGCTTGAGTGTGGTTTTTGTCAAGAACACATAGGGCTGTTGAATGCATAAAAGGTTTTAGCAGCAGAAGGTGCTGTATTTATGAGGTGTGGTGGCAACATTCAGGTCATGAATATCTTTTTTCTTTTTTTTTTTTTTAATATAGATTTTAGCTTGTGGTTCTGAGTCATTTCAGAATATAGAGACAAGAAAGTGGGCTATAAAGTAAGCTGTATAGCAGTTATATTCTTTGCTACTGTACTAATACTGTGTAATTTATCATCAATTGTTGAAGTAAAAAAATGTGTTCTATTTTGCATGTAATAGCTGACAGAAAGGCATGTAAAGGTAACAATTTAGGCTTATCAGTTTTTGTTTAGGGCATTCTCACCCCCTCATGCCTTTTTAGATCCTTAAGTTTCAAAGACAGTGTTTCTGTAATAAAATAAAGGTACATAGAATGACCCGACCCCCCCCCCCCCCCACCAAAGTAATAACTAATATTTTATACAGGGTTACTTTATAAATAGAAATAACTATGTACATAACCTGCATCATTTTTCCAAGTGATTTTACGTATATTTCCTGCCCTGTTTCTCATGTCTCATCCCTGGGAGTTGAGTAAGACAATTGGTGGAATTCCTATTTAATAAGTAGAAAACTGAGGCTTATACAAGCAGACAGGTCCAAACTCACGCTCACAATTTTTGTTGAGCCCTTTTTGTTTGCTGGCACTGTGCTAGGTGCTAAGGGTACAGTGGTGATTAAAACATGATTTTATCACTTAATGGAAAACAATAGTTTGTCTCAAAATGCTAGGGAATTGGTGTGTGCACAGTACTATGGCCACCCAGAGGAGGGCGTTTAGCCCAATCTGAGGGTTCAGAGAAGGCTTTTGGGGAGAGATCACTCCTAAATGAGCCTCCAGAGGGGAAATAGGATTGACTAGTCTTTTTTTTTTTTTTAATCCTTATTGGAGGATATGTTTTTATTGATTTTTAGAGAGAGAAGGGGAGAGAGAGAGAAAGAAAGAGAAAGAAACACCAATTTGTTCTTCCACTTATTTATGCATCTACTGGTTGATTCTTGTATGTGCCCTGATTGGAGATGGAACCTGAAACCTTGGTGTATGGGGACCATGCTCTAACCAACCGAGCTACCTGTCCAGGGCTCCTTTTTCCTTTATTTATTTATTTAAAAATATTTTTATTGATTTCAGAGAGGAAGGAAGAGGGAACCATTGATTGGCTGCCTCTTGCATGCCCTCTACTGGGGATTGAGCCTGCAACCTGGACATGTGTCTCACTGGGGAATCGAACCATGACCTCCTGGTCCATAGGTTGATGCTCAACCATTGAGGCACACCAGCTTTTTCCCTTATAATGCCTTTTCTGATACTGGGAAACTTGACTCTCATTATCCACGTATGTTACTTATTTGCTCAATTCTAGAATACATTTAAAGTAGTTTTGAAATTGCTAATCTATACCACTGCTAATTTGCCAACTAGAGTACAACATTTATTTATAGTTCTTTTAGCCTCTTAGCCTTAGACTTGGAGTATGTGGTCAAACTGTTGTGTTGATCAGAGTTATTTAGGTTAGTTCTTCCCCAATCCTCTTCTTACCCACCTTCCGTATGATTATGTTACTTATTTAAAATATAATTAAGTTAATTTATTTGTACTTCATTCTGGGTCCCCCATGTGTTTGTTTATTTATTTGATTATGTGAAACATTAACATGGATCTAAAAATAAGAACTATACCAAAAGGTTATCTCAGAAGTGTGACATCCCCTTACCCCCATCCATTCCACAGCATTCCTACCCAACGCATTTTGGTAACCCTTTTCATTAGTTTCTGTGTGTGTGTGTGTGTGTGTGTGTGTGTGTGTGTGTGTGTATTACCTGTTCATGTCCTTTGCCTATTTTTCTACTAAGAGTTTGGTTCTTTGTCCCTCAAAATTTTTAAACATATTTTTAAAATAAATTTTTATTGATTTCAGAGAGAAAGGGAGAAGGAGAAAGAGAAACATCAACGATGAGAGAGAATCATTGATCAGCTGCTTCCTGGGAATCGAGCCCACAATGGGGCATGTGTCTTGAATGGAAATTGAACACTGACCTCCTGGTTCATAGGTTGATGCTTAACCACTGAGCTAGACCAGCTGAACACATTCATTACTTTTTTTTGGTGTGTGTAATATATTTTTATTGATTTCAGAGAGGAAGGGAGAGGGAGAGAGAGATAGAAACATCAATGATGAGAGAGAATCACTGATTGGCTGCCTCCTGCACACCCCCTACTGGGGATCGAGCCCGCAACCTGGCATGTGCCCTTGGCTGGAATCGAACCTGGGACCCTTCAGTCCACAGGTGCATGCTCCATCCACTGAGCCAAACCCAACTAGGGCCACATGCATTTTAGTAAACACATATATTATGGAGCTGTATTTTACCCAATAAATGTTCTATTACAAAAATGAATGAATGAATGAGTGTGTTGCCCTGGCTGGGTGGCTCAGTTGGTTGAGCATTGTCCTGTGCACAAAAAGGTGGCGGGTTTAATTTCTGGTCAGGGCACATACCTAGGTTGTGTGTTTGACCCCCAGTGGGACATGTATGGGAGGCAACCAATCAATGTTTCTCTCCCCCTTTCTCTAAAATTAATAAAAACATATCCATGGGTGAGGATTAAAGAAAAGTGAGTTTGTTAATTCTATAGATTGTAGATGTGAAATATGTAATATATGTAATGCCATATAAACTGGGCTGATTTGCAATTTTATAATAGGTTTGAAGGACTATATTCTAGAATTGCTTATAACTTAAATAGTTATTCATAGGTTAAAAGAATCACTTTTGTGATTTTATTTTTTTACATTGAGTAAAAGCCTGGACTTTTAGATGTTATCAGTGTTTTTCCTTGAACAACATGGCTATGTCTTTAAGGTGCATATGGTCTCATGAATGTACTTTAATCGGATGTAATGATCTCATGGATTAGATGTCAGTCCTTACCTCACACACTTCAAATGTAAGTG